CCAAAAGCAGCAGAGGTTTGGGCAACACATCAAACACACACCAACAAGCACAAGAAAACAGAAAACCGGGGACTGCCTGCTGCTCAGTGAGCTATCTGAAGGAGAAATCACCTAAAGCTGACATCATATGAAGCCTGAACATTCAACTGCTAGAACAGTAGAGGACCAGGTGGTAGCCTTGCAAAGGGATTTGAAAAAGTCAAAGATAAGAGGTCTGAGCATTATTTACAGGAATCTCTACGTGCTGTGAAACACACTGGTGATTTACATGCCTTGGTCTGGAAAGGCAGGTTAGAGACATTGAACAACTTTGTGTGCACAGCTGCAAAGCATTCCGACACTTTTATGTTATTATAACTTATGCAGTTCTGAGCACCACCAAATATGAGAGGACATTTGAACATCTGACACTAAGGATTCATCAAGCTAAGCATTTTGGACCTGAAAACTTAGAGGTGGGGCACAGCATTGCTTTTAGGTGTGATTTTACACAGAGATGTTTATGAAAGCAGGCACAAAGGTGGCAGTATAACCCAAAGGTTCCTCAATGAACCATAAATATATATACACACACCCACACAGGAAATCAACATACACTATGTGCGAACAGTACCGGAGTTAGGTACCAGGTAACTCATTTTCTAAGAATATATATATATATATATATATATATATATATACACACACACACACACATACATATACACTTTTTTTCCTGTTGCTGTTACAAGCTGCTATATTAAGTTTCAGAGTGATAGCAAGTTATTATTATACAGTATTTATATAGCACCAATAGTGTGCGCAGCGGTTTACAAAATTAAAGTAGACATTACAATACAATTTGGTACAAGAGCTTACAATCTAAGAGTTATATCTACAGGCTGAAATACTGACCATAACCCCGCACATGCCATGTGTTGCAGGGCAAGTATCTCATAAATGTCACTGTAGCAGCCTGGCCTAGTTTATACGACTGTATGGAACCAACACTGTGTGGTACAGTGACCACACATCCTCATGTAAAGGAACTGGGCATTGGTAATGCCTCATGTATTGCCCCATAACATAAAGACTATCTCTACTATAAGAAGGACTACATAGATACAGTAACCTCAGATAAGCAAAACTCTTTATGAGTTATAAGCTTTAGTAAGAAAGGTGAAATATAGAACATTCCTCCAATGGTAGATGACTGGAACTATGTCCTATAACCCTACCAGTTTCAGGCCCAAGGAGTGCAACTGGTAATGCCTGAATATGAGAGATTTTCTGCTGGGTAAAACCTCAGGAGCTAGGCCTCCTGGGCCATCCATGTACACATGCAAGGACAAACACAACTTGAGTATAATCAAAGTGATGTACACTCACCGGCCAGTTATTAGGTACACCTAGATAGTCCTGGGTTGGACCTCCTTTTGCTTTCAGAACTGCCTTATTTCTTCGATTCAACAAGGATGGAAACATTGCTCTGAGATTTTGGTCCATACTGACATGAGTTACTTTTACCTTTCTATCATCTTTAACCGGTCTGTCCATTCTCTTCTGACATCAACAAGGCATTTTTGTCCGCACAACTGCCGCTCACTGGATATCTCTTTTTTGGACCATTGTCTGTAAACCCTAGAGATGGTTGTGCGTAAAAATTCCAGTAGATCAGCAGTTTTTTTAATACTCAGACCAGCCGAACTGGCACCAACAACCATGCCACGGTCAAAGTCACTTAAATCCCCTTTCTTCCCCATTCTGATGCTTGGTTTGAACTTCGGCAAGACATCTTTACCAAATCTAGATGCCTATATGCATTGAGTTGCTGCCATTTGATTGGCTGATTAGCAATTTGTGTTACCAAGCAATTGAACAGGTGTAGCTAATAAAGTGGCCGGTGAATGTATATAGAGTCATGACCAAAAATATTGGCACGCCTGCATGTCCGTCAGATAGCGCACAACTTTGCCCAGAAAATTGTTGCAATTACAAATATTTAGGCATTCTCATGTTTATTTCTTTTGTTTGTACTGGTATGAGACAAAAAAAGTGGTGAAACAAAAAGCCAAATCTGACACATTCCACGTAAAATCCAAAAATGGACTGAACAAAATTATTGGCACCTTGTCAAAATTGTAAGAAATAATTGCATTCCAAGTTTGTGATGCTCCTGTAGTTTGTAATTAAACTCACCTGTATCAACGAACAGGTCCTGACAATATAGAAATCACATTGGCAACCAGTTAAAATGGTGAAAAATAGGCTCCATGCACACTAGTGTTTTTTTAAGCTCCTAGAGGCTGTTAATAGCATTTGTTGTTCTGCTCCTAGAAGCTAAAATAGTGTTATGCTATGTGTCCATGCACACTACTTTAGGCTATTAGTGGTTTTTGAGCATCAGCTTCTAGCAGAAAAAAAAATTTCTTTTGTAGAGTTTTTTGGAGTGTTTTTCCATAAAAAACAAAAACAAAAAAAACGCTAAACACTCTTAAGCGCTGTCAAAACGCTACTAACAGCTTTTTTCTAGCTTCTTTGTTTTCCTACATGTACTGTAAAAATGCTAATGCTCCTAAACCATTACAAAAAACACATTATTACCATTTTTTTAATCCAGCTTTTTTTGAGCTTAGTAGTGTGCAGCCTTATTATAAGCTTACCTGTAGGTAGAAACCATAAAGCAAACTGTATTGCCGTTTTAATACTACATACAGTATTTAATCATACATATTGCATAGTGATTACCCCGAATACTCAAGCAGCCCATTGATTATGCGATTTAAAATAGCTTATATCGAAATCCCTCCTGCAGCGCTATTGTGTTCTCCCGGAAGGGAGCCTTCCGGACCATCAAAAGGCAATTACTGTTAGTAGCTATAGCTGGCAGCAATTGTAAGCAACAAATACATCAGTCTGGTTGTACCCAAATTGATCGATGGATGGACTTGGGCACAACCAGCCTGCCCAGAGATGGATCGACCGAGATTCGATCCATCTATGGCTGGTTTTAGTTATATAGTTACATAGTAAGTCAGGGTGAGAAAAGACAAATCCATCCTATTCAAACAATAGAAAAAAAATACACTGAAGTAAACCTGAGTATCTTTATATAGTCTACTCAAGGTAAGAGACACTGAAAGCTTCTCAGCTCCTAAGGTCTTAATGAGTCCAAGCCTAGTGGTAAATTAAAGCTGCTGAGCACCCTGAGCCTGGAAGTGTAACCAGAGCAATCAAGTACAACACCTGAATGTGTTAACACGCAATCATTAACCAGCTATCACAAGGGATGATGTTCATTCCTTGTGATAGCCATAAAGGGCTAAAAAAAAATAAATACGCATAAAAGGTGTATGATACGTAGGTCGAACACGCATATGTAAACGATATTCACATCACATCAATGCAATCGTTATAGTAAGAGCAATAAGGCTAGCACCTGACCTCCCATGTAGCTCTAAACTGGTAACCTGTAAAGGCTTTTAAAGTGTTGCCTATGGAAATGTTTAAGTACCATAGCTTGTCGCCATACCATGAGTATGCACAATTATTAAACGTGGCATGTTAAGCATCTATTTGCTTGGCGTAACATCTTTTATAAAACAATTCAGTACTGGATTGTTTTTGTTCATTAAAGTTCATTAAAGTGTTTTTTGCCCAAAAAAAATTGCGTTTGAAAAATCGCGGTTCAAATACTGTGTGACAGAAAAAATTACAACACCCGCCATTTTATTCTCTAGGCCGTGGCTCAAAAAATATATATATAATGTTTGGTAGTTCCAAGTCATTTTCTAGCAAAAAATGTTATATTAACACAAACACAATTTTGTTTATACAGCCCTTGCAGAGCGGTTTAGTCCAGAAGCTTGTTAATAAAATGTTGCAGGATCCACTAATTATTTTCAGCCTAGGGGTGGCTTATTTCCCAAAATCAAGACCCGAAAACTGATTAAATCCCTGCAGACCCCCTTGGAAAAAAAAAAATCGAGTAAGCAGACCCCAATAGCTTTGCGACTGCATAAGTCTAACATAAATGTAAGAAAGAGTTAAGAGGTTGCAAGTTCTATACTTGACTCTCAACTGCTGGCACTCTGCTAGGCAGCATGTGCCTCCAACTTACCACACCAATTATTGTAAGAGGTTCGCAAATACCCATAGCAACCAACACCCAAAAAGAGAACCTCCTCACAATGTGCAAAAGGTGAAGGTAAGTGCAAAGAAGTATCTCAGGCTTACGTTGGAGCTGTCCTGTGTGACAGGATCTGCAGGGCAGGCAGATGGTGTGGATTAGCATGGTCAGCTACATACTGCTCCATTTGCCTCCAACTATAGGGACCTGCACATCTCTGGCACCTCCTCCAGCTGTCCCTGTGCTACGTATGGTGAAAATTCAAAAATGTACATAATGTTCTGCTGTTCCTTGGTCTCTCTTGAGATTGAAAAACACATATTTGCACTCCCCCGTTTTGCATGGAATTGCGTCACTTGGATCGGGACTGTGGCCTAAACGCCATATTGGAAGTTAGGTGGGTACACCACCATTACTCCAAACACTCAATGAGCCATGCAAGTGCCCAGGTCACAACCCCAGGTCAGAAAACAACAGTTTGCTCAGAGCTATGGGATGGTCATGGCCTCCCCGATGGGTGGGAAACCTCAGGCTTACCATAAAAAAAAAAAAAAAATCAAGGAGAATGTATATAAATATACTTTTTCCTCCCTGTCTAGGCATAAAAACTGGTATAAAAAACCTGGTGGGATAGGTAGCCGGATAGGAAAGCCCCTGCAAATAGCATGTCAGCCGGAAAGATTTATGGAAAACAATAAACATCTGATGGTTCCTGTTGGTCTTGAGAAAACAGATAGAACTGAGGCTTGGCGATATGTCTCCATTATTTTTTTTTATAAATGTGTTTCCTGTTTCTATGTGGGAGGAGCCTTCTCTCAAGGATGCCTTGGAAGATGACTTGAGAAAGAGGTTTCCTTCTTAAACACAAAGCTTACTATCATAAATGTCTCACCTCATCATTATCGTTTCCACTTGAGCATTTCCGAGAAGACTTGTACTGTAAATATAAACAGAAAAAAAAGGATAAAGTGTTTGATGCTTTGGTAACCATTTTTTTCAGTTTTTTTTCCTGCAAAAAATTAAATATGTAAAATATCATTTGGCCATGGAAAACCACATTACTGCCTATGAAAACTACAAATTCATACTTTTTTTGATTATACTTTATGCTCCTAAAATGTTCAAAAAAGCTACAATAGCAGGAGAGAACCTGTGTGTACTGCAATTACTACGGTCATCTGCACCACCAAGTCACTTTATCCAGCAGTGTACTCGCATACATTTTACTTTTTTCAAATCTGTACAACTACCAATAACAGATTTTTTTTTTGTTATTTGGAAACAGCTCCAGTTTTAATATGCCAGCCATCCCGGCTAAAACAATAGAGAGCTTGTTTAGACTGGGTGTATTCTCAGTTAAAGGAGTGTACATCACTCATTTAATTGAGTCGTGTTAACTTTGTAAGCCAGAGAAGAATTCTCTGCGTGCCTCTCTGATCTTGGTTTTACTTTGCACAGAGCAGCTCAAGCTTTGTCCTCAACTAAGCCCTGGCATCTATTGCATCCAGATCAGAGTGCTTGTTTTTGCCACTAAGTCTGACAGGTTTGATTTAAAGTGGTTGTAAACTTCAAACATGAAATATAAACAAGGCACATTCCTCGCACTTCAGAGTACTGTCATTCCTGTCTCCGGCTTTATTCCTGTGCTATAAGCATGACTCACTTCTGATGCGTTTTTCTGACACCAAAATAAAAATGGTGGCAGGGGAGTGCACAACAAGTGATTAACATGCCTCAGCTCCCTTCCTGTGTGCTGTGTGAAGGGGGGGGGGTGTCTTTCCCTCCAATTAGCTCTCAGAGTACACGAGCGATGAAACTTCAGCTCGCGGTACCCTGCTTCTCAGAGCTGAGAGATGCTGTGGAATGTCTGCACTTTGAATAAATGTAGGAGAAATATGGCAGTAGATAAACAGGTACAACGTATGTATGAGGAAGTGTTTCACCTCTGTGTTATCACCTGAGGCCAGTCACTTCACTGGGTATACACAAGGGTTTACAACCACTTTATAACACTCCCATAATAAAAGCAAAGCATAAAGGATTATAAAGTAGCAGTAAAGGTCAAACGCTGCACCCAAAAAGTCTACTGCATGCTTTAATAAAATAATTTGAGCTGCTCTTATGCTGCTATGGGGGAAGTGAAATTGGTTAAGAGTCTTTAAATTCTCGGGATAGGAGATAAAATGTTCTTACGTAGGTGTCCGTTTATGACACAGAGAATAGCTGCGATTGAGAGGATCGCAGCTACTCTCTGGTCATTCGCAGTTTATGACACTCAGGAGATCAGCGAGGAGCGATGTCAGCCCTTCACTGGAGATCTGTGTTCTCCCTCCAGATTCTCCAGCCCAGAGCTGGAGAATCTGAGGAACCGCAAACTAAGCAGCGATAATTTACCTCTGCTTAGTAAACTGATCTCTTACTGTAATCTCGTGAGATTAGTAAAAGCAGCCGTTTTCCACCGTTTGTAGATCGTTCTCCCTTTGTTTGGAGAACTGATCTACACCGCTTCATAAAAGGCATTCACAGGAGAACTGTGTTCTCCGAGAATGCCGGAGAACTGAGCAGCGATCATTTACCGCTGGTTCATAAACGGACACCATAGTACCAAAAGAATTCAGGTGCTTACAGAACACTCTTATTTGTGAGGGCACCTATGAGGTCTTGGCTGTTCACCCATGTAAATCTTCATTTGTTTTTTTACCACATATGTAGGTTAAATGAGAGGTAATCTGTAAACCCAACATTGTAATAATTATAGCCATATAGTGAAGTAAACCTTTACATACAGTACATGCTAGTTCCCTACTTGCAGTTATAGAACTTTTGTCTAATAATTTTGTCATTCAGTAACAGTTTATTATTTCATATCTAAATTTTATTGAAAACAAGATAATCTTAGAGAGACTACTAGATCAAAAAACATCCCTGTATTCCACATTACTGCTGAAATTTGTCTTTAGAATGCAATAAAACTATACAGCACACACAAAACATACACTTGAAAAGGCAAAAATGGCAGTTTTCAACTACATGAACTTCAGTGCCATCTTGAGGTAGATTATAGTTACAGCTTGCACATTGTATCACATTATTTTCAATATCAACTAAAAATAAACTTTGAAAAAAAGGTATCAGTTAACTATGGAAGCAGCCATTCCACTTCCAAATATTGTTGGGATCTCCATCTCCAACAGTAAATGGATACTGTTTCATAGGACTCCACAAAAGGAATGGGGGTGGATAGACCAGAAATATGTTAAAATGTTTGTTATAACAACTTTATCTAATGGCTATTATCTTTAAACCCAAATTTCTTCTAAATATGATGGCTGCTATGGCTGACCTGTTTTTCTCTTTCTTCACTTCTTGGTGACTTCACTGCCCTGAGAAAATGGGAATTTTGACACACCTGTAAATTCCATATCTTGTACAGTGCAGGACACAGGATCTGTAGTCAAAGAACATGTTTTGAATGCGGCCACCTTCAAAATTGGACAAGGTTTAGCTGAGAACACCCCACAATGCTTCCTCACAACACTTCCCACTCTGTGGGACTTCCGTTTTTCAGCAAGCAATAAGGAGAACCAGAATGGGGGGAGAGACCCATGTCCTATACGGTACGCCAAGATATTGAATTTGCAGGTAAGCCAAACTTCTCATCATCTCAATCATAGAGTACAGGACACAAAATCTGTAGTACGAGTAGACCATGGGACTTCCCAAGGAATAAACTGAGGGTTGGGCAACAACATAACTATGGCAAACAAGCCCACAAGAAAACAAAGATCAACAGACCTGAAAACACTCAGCTGAGAACTTGAAGTCCCTTGTGCCTGAAACTTGCATCAGCTGAGGCTTGAAGATCCATCCAGTAAAACTTTGAGAAGATATGAACAGAGAACAAGATGGCTGCTGTGTAGACCTACAAAATTAAAGCTTAATGCTGAAAGGTCCAAGAAATCTGGCGGATTTTGCTCTGATGAAAGGGAACCTTCCATTTAGGGCATATGCTTGGAAATTGGCTGCCTAAGCCACCTAGTAAACCTTCTTGGGACCCTCAAGGAAGAATTAGTCTTTTTGAAGGAAGATGTTGCAGCATGGTAAACCCTAACTGTTCATACCACATCCACACAATGGAATCGTTGGGGCAGGATAGAGGGAAGGGAGGATAATATCCTCAGTGAGGTAAAAGGAAAAGATCACTTTGGGGAAGAAGAAGGATCTGGGTCCCAGGACTAAGAATCACTACGCAAGATAAAAAAAAGAAACAGGCCAACTAACTGGTGAGATCTTTCAAGGGATCATTCCGAAATGGTTCAAAGAGAGGTCTTGGAAGAACCCAAAGAACCAGATTTAGATCCTAGAAAGACATAGGAAGTTCAATGGCAGACCTTACAAGAAAGGGATTTTCTCACTTTGAGCAAGGTAGGAATTAGCAGTCCTCCTATCCTTTAACCTGTCCATTATCATCTTGAATTTGGAGGGGTGCTGTGTTGCGCTAGGGGTGCTGTGTTGTGTTCAAGGACGCTGTGTTGTTAGGGGTGAGGTGTGCTTTAGGAGCATTGTGTTGTGTTAGGGGCACTGTGTTGTGTCAGGAGACACAGTGTTTTGTTAACGGGCGCTGTGATGTAAAGGGGGGCAGTGATGTGAAGTGGAACTGAGGACACTGTGGGACTTCTTTAAAGAGGGGACTACAGCGTGAAAGGTACGCTAAAGATCATAATGTAGCAAGGGACTGTGATGTGTTATATATTTATATTATCACTTATATGGTTGCCTTAGTTGCAACATTTGAGTGCGGCAATTTATTTATAATATTTGTGTACAATTGACCTGATTGTCTGCCAGCAGCTTTTTTCATTTATTCACTATTTGCGCAGCTTTTTTTGTTTCTTTCTGTTCAAACCATTCTTAAGCCTGAAGAATAGAAAGGCCAGATTAGATTTTGCCAAAAAACATCTAAAAAAGGTAGACCAGTTCTGGAAAAGCATTCTTGGAAAGATGAAACTAAGATTAATCTGTACCAGAATGACGGGAAGAAAAAAGTGTGGAGAAGGCTTGAAACAGCTCATGATCCAAAGCACACAACGTCATCTGTAAAGCATGGTGGAGGCAGAGTGATGGCATGGGCATGCATGGCTTTCAGTGGCACTGGGTTATTGGTGTTCATTGATGATGTGACAAAAGACAGAAGCAGCCGGATGAATTCTGCAGTGTTTAGAGATATACAGTGGGGCAAAAAAGTATTTAGTCAGCCACCAATTGTACAAGTTCTCCTACTTAAAAAGATGAGAGGCATGTAATTGGCATCATAGGTAGACCTCAACTATGAGAGACAAAATGAGAAAAAAAATCCAGACAATCACATTGGCTGATTTGGAAAGAATTTATTTGCAAATTATGGTGGAAAATAAGTATTTGGTCACCTACAAACAAGCAAGATTTCTGGCTCTCACAGACCTGTACCGTCTTCTTTAAAAGGCTCCTCTGTCCTGCACTCATTACCTGTATCAATGGCACCTGTTTGAACTTGTTATCAGTATAAAAGACACCTGTCCACAACCTCAAACAGTCACACTCCAAACTCCACTATGGTGAAGACCAACGAGCTGTCGAACGACACCAGAAACAAAATTGTAGACCTGCACCAGGCTGGGAAGACTGAATCTGCAATAGGCAAGCAGCTTGGTGTGAACAAATCAACTGTGGGAGCAATAATTAGAAAATGGAAGACATACAAGACCACTGATAATCTCCCTCGATCTGGGGCTCCACACAAGATCTCACCCCGTGGGGTCAAAATGATCACAAGAACGGTGAGCAAAAATCCCAGGACCACACGGGGGGACCTAGTGAATGACCTGCAGAGAGCTGGGACCAACGTAACAAAGGCTACCATCAGTAACACACTACGCCGCCAGGGACTCAGATCCTGCA